AAACTATAGTGAAATCAAACTTCACCTTTTAAAATAACATAAAAATATACCTATGAATAAATAATGATGGCCAAACTGTATGCTTAAGTATTAACAGCAACTCAAGCAAAATATAAACAATAAATCCTTCTTAGGAAAACTTTGTCTTTTCTCCTTTCCTTTGCTCAATCTCTTTCTTTTGGCACATTCTGCTCATCATACAGTGCTGTGTACATTCATAGCACCTCATAAATAATAAAAAACAATGTCTGCAGTCCTAAGCAGGGAGGAATCAAATCTTAGGCACATTTCCAAAGGTTAACTTCTACCATGTGGAAATTATGCTAAGTGCCCTCAAATGTACTGCTGAAATACTCTCATTTTCAAGCAAAACATATAATCAAAATAAAGAATACAGTTAGCCATTCTGAATGAGTTAAGCATGGCAATAACAGGAAACTAATCTAAAAACTTAATTTCATCCACTCATCTCCATATTATCTAAAATCTCTGAAGCTGTAACTACAGTTTGAATAAAAAAGTAATCAATTCTTAGTTTCTTATGCTTGTGGTAGAAAAGAACTGTAGCGTGGATAATCGAGGAGACTAAGTCATCCAGAATTATCTGGAATTATTTTAATGCTCATGTTTCCCTGGGGGTTTTCTTTGGGGATGCATCAAATTACATTTTTATTAGGCTAGTAAAGAAGAACACTTTGTTCTTTGTAATTAAAAATACCTGACAATAGGGAAAGACCATATTCAAGTTCCAATTTACTTATGCAGCAGGCCAGGTTTTTTTTTAATGACCAGAACAACCAATTAGAAAACCAACTAAGGTATAAGGCAATTTCTTCTTTTGCATAATGAATATAAAACATCTCAACACACTAAAGATAAACAGGGAGTATATTCTATAGCACTTGGTAAATGTAACCTTCATATAAAATTGTGAAATGAAACTTAGAAATATGCCATCTTATCTTATGACTGCTTAGCACATAGGCTTAGCATGTCCTTGGCAGAAGATAGCAAAAAAAAAAAAAAAGACCAGAGGCTCTACAGAAATTTCAGTCCATTGAAATCGCGCTAACAGCACTCGCAATAACTATGAAATAATTTTTGTTTCCTAAGATTAGCAACTCTAATAAAATGAAAATAAAAACAATGATTGTGGCTGAAATAAGGAAAGAGAAACCCTCCACTGTTATCAATTAGAAATAAAAGTCAAAGGGAGAAGAGGCAACACATATAGAACTTAACAAAAACAACTAAAAAACCAAGACAAAAAGGTACATCTCAGCTGCAAAATCATTGTTTTGAATAGTTTGATGGGTTTTTTTTTGTTATTTTCTGTCATTCTTTTAAAAAGAAAAGCTACCCATAAAAACATATACTGGCTTTGATTTGCATTTCCCCGAAAAGTGATCATGAGCATTTTTTCATTTGCCTGCTGGCCCTTGGATGTCTTCTTAGGGGAAGTGTCTACTTAGCTCTTGTAGTCACATTTTGACAGGGTTCTTTCTTTTCTAGCTGTTCAGGTCTATGAATTCTTGGAAGATAATGGATAATAGCTCCCTGTCAGATGTATGACTTGTAATTATCTTCTCCAATTTGGTAGTGACTTTTAATTTAATGTCAGTTTCTTCCACTGCAGAAACATTTGTTTGATGTAAACTGATGTGTTTATTTTTTTTCTATTCTGTAACAATTGTAGCTGAAATCTAAAAGACCTCACTGAAGCTATTGTCACAGATTGTTTTGCATAAATTGTGTACTATGTATTTCATGGTTTCAGGTCTTACATCCAAGTCTTTGATATATTTTAAATTAATTTTATGTTCATATGAGATAGTGATTTAGCTTCATTATTTATCCAATTTTTCAATACCATTTTTAATTGATTTTCCTCTTTCTATTTTATTCCTATTTAATTCCTATAAATTAATGGTACTTAAAAGTGGGGATTAATTTCTAGACCCTCAATTTTATTCTGTTGACCTGTGTGTCTGCTTTGATTGCTACTACATTTGAAATTAGTACATAATATCTCCACATTCTTCATTTTTGTCAGGACTGCATTGGCTAATTAGGTCTTTTGTGTTTCATATAAATTTCAGCAACTTTTGCTCTAATTTGTTGAAGAAAGCAAATAACATTTTAATAGGTATTCCATTTAATCTGTATATTGCTTTGGGTAAGATGGCCTTTTTAATAATGTCAATTCTTCTAGAAGCCAGGAGAATCTTTTCATTTCCTTGTGTTGTTTATTTCTTTTAACAATGTATTATACTTTTTTTCACACAGGCCTTTCAATTTCTTTGTTAGGCTTATTCATAGGTATTTAATTCATTCTGATGTGATTATAAATGGAACTGTTTTCTTCATTTCCTTCTCTTCTAGTTTATATACAGGAATGTGACAGATTTTTGATATTGATTTTGTAAGCTTGCTTGCTACTTTACTGTACTGATTTATTGTTTCTAAAAGTTTTTAGTCGAGTTGTTAGGAGTTTACATGTATATTTTCTACAAATAGTGGCAGTTTTACTACTATTTTTTAGTTTGGATTTCATTAATTTCTTTCTTGTGTCCAACTGCTCTCACTAAGACTTCCAGTGCTAAGTTAAAAAGAAGTGGTGAAAGTGGGCATCCTAGTATTTTATCTGATCTTAGAGGAAAAACTTTCAGTGTTTTGATAGTTGTGAATTTGTGTAGATGATCATTATTATGGTAAGGTATGTTCCTTCTATCCCCATTTGATTAAGAAATTTTATGATAAATGGGTTTTAGAGATTGTGAAATGCTTTCTGCCTCTATTGATACAATTTAATGACTTTTATTTTTCCTTTTGTTGATGTGCAAAGTTACATTAATTGATTGGCAAATGTTGAACCATTTTTGTATCCCTAATATAAATCCCACTACACTATAGCTATAGTCCTTTTAATGTATTGCTGAATATAGTTTGCTGAGATTTTGTTGAGAATTTTTACATCTATGTTCATGAGGAATACTGGTTTATAATTTACTGTGTGGGGGATATCCTTGTCTGCTTTTGATATCACTGTAATGTTGGTTTCATAAAATATATTTGGAAATATTCCAACATATTCACTTACTTATAAGAGTTTGAAAAGGATAGGTCATCAGTTTATCTTTGAAGGGTTGGTAGTGCTCACTAATGAAGCCACCTGCCACCTAGGAGACTTTTGATTACTATTATAATTTTCTTGCTTATAATTGATTTGTTCCAATGTATGTTTCTTCCTAATTCAATCTTAAAAGGGTGCATGATTCTAAAATTTGTCTATTTCTTTTAAAATTTCCAATTTGCAAAACTAGAATGAGCTACTACATAAAAACTATAAGAATGAATATGACAAGACCAGATACAGCAAATATTGATGTGGTAAAAAGGAGCCCACATATACTATTGGTAGGAAAGTAAACTAGTTCAGCCTCTATGATAAACAGTATGGAGTTTCTCAGAACATTAAAAACAGACCTATGGGCCCTCCCTGCTGGGGCAGCAGGTTAATGCACAGCACTAA